GCGCGGCATTCGGGAAGCTTGAGTACCGAGTGTGGAACAACCATCAGCTTAGCATTGGCACGAAGCTGATGGTGTACAAATCCATGGTACTGTCCGTTCTTCTATACGGCAGTGAAACGTGGACGATGTACCGTCGGGATGTGCGATATCTCGAGCGGTTCCATCAGCAGTGTCTGCGACGAATTTTGCGGATCGGCTGGGGCGCCAGAGTTGCAGACACGGAAGTGTTGCGCCGAAGTGGGATGTATGCAGTGGACGGCATACTTTTACTGCGACACCTGAGATGGCTCGGTCATGTGAGCCGTATGGATTCGACGCGAATACCGAAACAACTTTTATACGGTCAGCTGAGTATAGGGAAGCGGCATGCTGGGAAACCAAGTTACGTTACCAGGACATGATTAAAGTGAGCCTCACACGTTCTAATCTTGATTGCAGATCATGGGAATCGAAGGCGGTTGATCGGCGTGCATGGCGCGATCTAATCACGAAGGCAGTTGCTGAAGTGCGGGAGAAAGCCCTCATGCATGCAGAGAAGAAGCGGCAAGTGCGGAAGCGGCAAGCACCGATGAATTGTACTCCATCGACATCGAGCGCATTGTGCTGTAGAACATGCGGTCGCGAGTGCCTTAGTCAGGCAGGCCTAGTGAGCCATGAGAGAGGTCACTCGGGACCACTGCCGAAGCGACGACGGGTCCCGCAGTGAACGTAGGCAGCACCGGCGCAGCGTTTGTAGGCACGCTGAATTCGATTTACTAACCGCATGCTTGCATGCTAAGTCTCTTTATTTCAGGTGGTGGGTTTTCGGTTCTCTCCTAATGCCTTTCTTTCTCATATAAATGTCTAGTGGGCCATGAGCTGTGCCATTTGGGGCCACTACAGAAGCGACGACGGGTCCTGCAGAGAATTACGACGAGCCGGCGCAGCGTTTGTAGGCACGCTGAATTCGATTTACTAACCGCGTGCTTGCATGCTAAGTCTCTTTATTTCAGGTGGTGGGTTTACAGTTTTTACCTTAATGCTTTTCTTTCTCATATAAATATCTCCCTGTACTCTATTCCATTAACTTGCACACATCGCTTCAGCCAATTGTATTCGATTTCCATAACATTTTTGTGTTCGTGGCATTCCGTGAACTATACTTCCTGACCTCGTGCACTTAGCTAGGATCTGTTTGTAAACAACTTATTACGTATGCTATTTACTTAAGGTTTATATCACCGTTTCCTTATGCATTAATCGAGTTTTTCTCTTTTTCTTTCTCTCTCTCTCAAGTGTTTGGCTGTTGTTTGATATCCCCGGTGTGGCTGCGCTTGATGTGCATGTTGACAAGGTGCCTACCTGTCTATTACCCACTACCTCGTCCATACTGGCTCCAGGAGACAGTTGGTCGTTGCTGGAGGGGACGGGGTGCACGGTCCTTGTGGCCGTGTTAGGCTCGAAGAGTGGTTCCATGCACTCAGTGTGGAGCGGACTACGGTCCAGCCACCGCCTTGTGTGCGCTTGATTCCCCAAATACAGTGTGCTTGTGTTTGCCTGTGAAGGAGTGTGGGCCGGCTCCGTTGATGAAACGTGGTTCCATCCGCATGCCTCCCGGTCTTATTCCTTCGGGTTTACACTGGATATGGGGTGTGTGGTTGGAGCTGTGGGTGGTGCAGCGCAAGCCATCCATGGTCCCTCTGTAGGCGCAGGCGTCCTGTGGCTTGCCACAGTGACAGGCAAATCCGAAACCGGATGCCGCCAACCATAATGTGTTTACAACATAAGAGGCTGCAATGGCGACCTCCTGGTGGACGTTTGCAGCAATCTTCGCATATGTAACTGGTGTTCCAGGGGCTTAGTCTTGACAAGAGACATTTGAGCTACAGGTACCGGGGTTGGTGTTCAGCCGTTTCATTCTTGTTAGTGCTAGATGTCAGGCCTAGTAAAAGTTGCTTAACCAGATGTTTCGACTAGTGCCTGAATTTCGTGGTCATGAGTACTGTTTAACTCTCGTAGGTACGGTCTGTTTTCGCCCGGCGTTCTACCAAAGTTGGAGAAGACAACGGAGATGGGGGCGTGGATGACTGCGGTTTAGGGGAAGCGGATTGTGCAGCATTTCGTTGCTTAGAAGCCGCTACGCTTCCGTGGTGCATGTTCGCTTTCATTGAATTAATCTTATCGTTCATCTTCTGCTCGCCCTCTGCGGATAACCGGTCACACATCCGGACTAGGATAACCAAGCACTTAACAAATGGGATGGTGGAGCACGCAGTACAGAAACAAGGTGCATCTTGTTAGCTATTTCACTATCGTATCTATTGTTGGGACACGTTCACACATTACGAATGATACCACTCCAAACAGTGCGAGCAAGCCAGACCTATCGAGAACAATCGATGACATTCTCCTAACCCGCAAATATCTTTCGTGTGGATCCTCTTCGGTTTCACATTTCTGCCATTCCACGTGGTGGCGCTGCCTGACCCGTGGGTTGGTTAGCGTTCTATACTATTCCAGCTTTGCGAGCGGCGCACATAGGTCAGACGAACGTTGTGGTTGCAAGGTCAAATGAGCGGCCGGCGTGTTCGCGCGGTCCGTGTGATTGGTTTTGCAGGCGCACTTGTTGATAAGGTCACAAGGAATAGGGAGTGACTGGAACCTGCTAACTGAATTTGAACGCAACGCTGAACACAGATCGAGGTCACAAATTATTTCACACCTATGTTGAGAAACGCTGGATCGGAATAAGCTAAAAGTTTTTGGACTACCTACAATTATGTATGGAATGGTGTCACGCAGAAAGGCTATCGGCTCAATGTGACTGAGTTAACCGCTGGCGTTTAATCACTGGGGACAGCGAAAAAGGTTAATGATGGCACGGAACTTAATTGTAGAAGATAATTTCACGTATGATTGATCACTGTGTAGTGCTGGTAAATCCGGTTCGAATGAGCCTACAGTGACAACGCTGCAAGAAGATGGAGAGAGGATGGAGAGGAATACTCTGAATGAACCAGAAACACGCACGTCATGCGTGGGTTTTTGAACAGCTTTCCAACTGGACGGTGAATCAAGTGTATGAGGCAGCTGCTATATGACCTTGCTTGAAGACAAATTTACTGTATCCAAGCACGGCGTGGATGTATCACCATTTGTGACTACTCTGCTCACTTATTTGTCGGTTCATTTGAGGATTATAAACGAAGGACAGCTGGTTTGGACAGGCTGTAAAACTGGGCGTGGAGAAAGTTACAAGTAATCACTTGGATAAGGCTGGCTGTATAAAAACATGAGGCGCTGACAGTGCTTTAAGTAGGTGAAACCCGTACACAGTGCAAGAAGAAGTTTCATATTAATAACGACTTCACGAATAGTATTTGCAGTGAATTTCGCACGTCCGTTGATGTGTCAATATCACAAAAGCTGAAGTGACCGGTGCGAGCAGCGTAAGCAGAGTTCACCCTGACATATTGAATAACTTAGGAGTAGTCACCAAGAAGAGTGGATTTGAATGACTTTGGATCAACTAAACACTAGAGAAATCAGACCAAACAAACAGTTGGGCCACTATGGCATGATTAAACCGCGTTGTTAATGGTGTAGAAGAAGTCGAATGGTGCAAGTAAAGTTAGTAACATCTAGGCTCAGTTACAAAGTCATAACACACCATTACACAACATAACATAGTGTGTGGCCGTTACATCCATACGCGAATCATCAGCAATTTGTATTCCATCAGACCCTTGTGGAGCTTGAAGACATAACGCTATATTTATCAGTTTGTGGTGAGGAAAATTGGGCTATGAAGGACACTAAAGACCGATGTGACTGATTTACTGGAGATGATTTAGCGGCGTGCATTGATAAAAGTAGGATTACTGGTTCAAGCCGCAGAGTGCCTTTCCGGGCGCGTGAAGTTTGCTTGAGCGAGCTTAGAATGACAAATTTCTACCTATAAAATGACTTTTTCATCAACTAATGCGACTGTCAAGTGTTAACAAGAAACAGTGACGAACAGTTCCCGAAAGCTTAACTACACCAAGGTTGTCGGCACAAAAAAGAACAAAAGATCACGAGCTCATTAAAGGAGCAAAAACAAGCAGCAGCCTTACGTCGTATCTAGCCAGGTGCAGCTGTAGTATACCTGGCCGGGTGCGCTTCCACACAGCTGTGGTGCGGAATCGGTTATGTATTCGCGCGTCAGGTATCAAAGTGGCATTGCTTAATTTGATTTTAATACCTTTTTTCTGGATTAGCAATAATCGGAAATCGCAAGTAGATCTCACAGGTGCAGCTTTTCTAATCTGAATCCTTCCTGGCCTGCCAGGCTTACTATGTCCATTACAGACGTTGACATAGTAGGTTCGCCTGTCCAGTGTCACCAGCTCCACTGCTGCCACCACGCAGCTGATAGCCGTTTCCGGGTGGTTCTATACCATACTAAAGACTATGGCAGAGACACTGTGCTGTGCACTTTTGGAATGTCCTATTCTGCTCTAGTTTCACAAGAATGACTGGCTGACGCCGGTTCGACACAGGTTAGCCGCTCATTGAATATATCCGCAACCGTGGACCTTATCGGGGCTCCAGTGTAACCTCACGCCTAGGCACTCGCGTTTTGCAGGCCGCTGCATAGCCGTCGTTGTTATCCGGTCTCATCCTCTTCGGTACGCTATGAATGATGTTTTGGTGGGCGCGATGAAAGCTAATTCCGCAGTTCCTGTATAAACACGGGCTTACTATGGATGATCGGAACCGGAAGAAGAGAAGAATCAGGTATAGGATGTTACTTGCCACATCAATTTGTGAGGACATTTTAATGTAGGACCGTGGCCGACCATTTGTTTAAGATGCAGGCTGCTCTTGTGTAAGTACTAGGGAAATGTCGGGAGTTCCCATAGGTCAATTTGTAAAAAAGAAAGAGCGTGAAGCAAATACTCCTATTTTCTACTTAGATGTGTTTGGCAACTACTAAGAAAAACAGATGCGCGCAGAAGAGCAAAATAGCAGTCACTCACCTCGCCACTTGGGAATGCAGCGTTGTTGAACTACAACGGTTACAGGTACGGTTGATCGACGAGGAACTGGAGCGTGGCAATCAAACCCGGTCACATTCATCTCGTAGCTGGTGGACTGGGCCTGATCAAATATGACACGCGACCGAAGTACACCTACAACAAAATGAAAAGACAAGGACAAACTTTTAGAATATGACAACAGCAGATGTATGTTGAAATTAAATGATGCTTTGGGAAGTCAGTAAACTGGCATCTAAGTAGACATCAACTTTTAGTACACCATATCGGTCGGCGTCCGGGATTGGGGTTATAAATATTATTGCCCACTCCACACCTGCACCAGCCCTAGTCTTGGATCGAGTGCACATACTGCCCAACCTCATTTATTCATACCATTCACTATACCTGAAGAAGAGCATTGGTGTACTCATTAATAGGGGATTTCTGTTGCAAGTAATTCAGAATGCAAAGCAACAGTTTCCAAATCTTAGAATTCTTAGCAAGCCCGAAAAAGAACTGTTTGGTTTCGCTAGTAGTACACATCCATCGGCTCCAACAAGATCTGAACCCATGATATGCAATTGTGGCTAAGTCGCGTGTGCAACACTTAAATCGGTTTCTTTTTATTAGTTACCACTAGTCCACTCTCGCTCACTTAGTCTAACGCCTAACATTCTTTGTCGAAAGCCGTACACACTGTTCGCTTGCGACTGTTTGAGCAAATCTGTTTCGTCTTTGTCCGCTACCAAACTTTGCCTCGCTCATTCAGCATTCCTTCCAACATTCACTGTTCTGGTCAGTCTGATTGGTGTCAGAATTCAACAGATTCTGTACATCCACTTTGCAGTTTTCGGATTCAGGGAGCGCATCGCAACTGAATAGCATTTGGCGTAGCTGTTTTATGCAGCAAACGCGCAGGTATCACTGAAGTGATTTCGCGCACGTGCTCGAACTAGCTACGATGGAGCAACTTACACGTATGTATAGTAGTTCTCTATTTTTAGTATAGAGTATTCTCTGCCTGCATGGTGTTGTTCATTTCCACATAAACTACCAGATACCATAACATGCTTTTACCGCGTTAAATTTTTTAAGGGTGCGCGGTATGGCAAGTGTGATGCGCCGAGTGATTGCTTCAGACGTTGGGGCTCGAGTACGTTCTGTTAGGTAATCAGGCCGTATTCATCATTGCAACGGATCCAAACGGCGTGCTTTTTTAAAGGGTCGTTTTGTCGCTTGCTACAGAGGCTCGGCCATAAGCAGCTGGTTCGAAGTTGCAACGATCATTACATGAATTTTACCAAGAGTGCGGTATTCTATTTGCTACCAACTCGAGGATGTAGTGTTGTCGTCAATTAGTCCTTCTGGCGCTGTTTTAACTGTAGGGTTTCCACTGTTAATGGTAAATATATTATCTCTATGGCATCTAGATATTTAGCAGTTTTTAGCGGACGATGACATCGGAAGATTGTTTATATTATGTGTAAACCTTGAATTCGCCAGCGTCTGTGTTCACAGGCTCTTACAACCGTGTTGCACATTGAAATCTGCGTGCACTTCTAGTTGACAGCAATGTACTTGCTTTACTAGATGTACCACAACGGCTTTTGAAAACCGTCTTTCCGGTTGGATTTCAGTGAAAGGTTTGTAGTTTACACAACAAAATTTTGGGGGCTTCACTTATTTGTGTCAAGCCGGTTCTTCTTTGGTAGCCGGCTGGTAGCTTACCGGAACGATGCCTATCCGTTGCTGGTAGCTCAGCTGGCATGCAACTTTTGTATTTATTTTCCTTTTTCATTTATATATTGCGGCACAGTAGCTGAGGTGTTTCCCACCTCTAGCTGACGTGTATAATGATGATGATGATGGTTCTCCTTTGGGAACTAGATTCAAAATGGGAACAATTTGGAACAATTTAATAGGTTTATTATGCAGTAACTTAGAACAACAGACGATACGTTGTCTCCTACTAAACCATAGCTATGATGTTTATGTTGGACATAGAAAGTTGTCAAGATAGTAAACGATCTAAATTGATAGGCACATGTTGAGTACAGTAGGATGAAAAAGTGAACCCAGTGGCATTGGATATGAACACATGATTTGGGGCTGAATTTCGATAGCACTTGTGAATATATCCATAACAGCAGGTAAACTGCCACAAACATATATGCGTTTAGAATCAGGAAGTTGGGTTCAGGACCAGACCATTCAGGACTATCACTGTACACATGCCTCCACTTGCACCGCATCAGTCGTTTAGATCAGCCAATTAGACAAATTGCAATTAAGTAATATAGGGTCTGCTGAAGGTGATACTCATTTGTCTACTACACGGTTTGACCACCTTTTCACATAAGAGCAACAGCTTCTGCTTAGGTTTATAAGTTTATAGGTGGTATATTTCGCGATGGCGTGAGGCACAGTTCACCGGAATTGCAAAAGATAGAGGTTGTTTACGTTGCTTAAAGTAGTATCCATATGGATTTTGGGATGTTAATTGGTTAAATATGCCCTATGTGGGACGACAGATGTAAAACCGAAGCTCCGATACTGCTTGTTTTTAACGTACAGTCTCAACGGATCTCGAACTATTAGATACCATTCAATCCAGCTTTACGTCCACTTTACCTAACAGGGAAAATTTTTGTAGGACATCTGACGGTCCTTGCGAAAACTTTGCAAAACCTCCGCTCTGTCGTGGATTTTCCATACTCATCTCAACGCACACCAACCAAATTCCAATCATTCGTATCGGAATCACCAGCACTATCCCACGACTACTTGGCCAGCTAAATAGCATCGCAATCTGCAACGCTTTGTCGTAGTTGGAGCCCTATTGCCGAACACGACCTATAAATCTGCTTTTCTACTATCGGATCCTAGTTAAAACGTTCAGACTACATCGTCACCGACGACCGACCCCAAACGGCAACGATCGAGAATTCTTTCTCACTCGAAAACTAGTGAAGCCCACTCGTTCTCGCGTGCGCGTCGGAAGGTATGTGTGTGACTCACCTTATCGTCAGATCGTCATCTAATATCTGTCCAGGAGCGTACTTCAGATACCGAGGAAAAAGAAAAACATGATCTCATGCCCGATACACCTAAAGTTTTTAGACGATATGAGTGCATTGAAATTCGTACGCAGTAAAAGACTGGTTGCTGCATGAAATAATTTCAAAAACATTAAGATCAAACACGATCAAACGCCTCTTCAAAGGCGACTAGCACTGAACCAAACCTCCCGCCCATCGAACACCCCATATTTCTATTATTGAAGCCAGTACTGCCGCCGTCATTAGCAATGTGCACCTTGACAAGCCCGCAACGTTGTCTAAGGTAGGAGATGACTAGCATTCCAATCCTCAGGGACATCGTGACAGGTCCACAAACAGCAGTAGTGAGGTGTCCCTACATAAAAATGTCAAACAAGTTAAAAATATAGCGACTCAGGAGACACCTGCTGACAACACACCGCGGGACTTGTCAAGAAACTGCTTTTGTACAAGGCATAAATCATTGTTCATTATTCAACTCCTTTGCTCCTTCTCCCAATCACGAGCCTTTACAAAAGTTGACAGTAGCTCTGACTGCGACCTATCGAGAGCAAAACAAAAACTCAGATCGTCATTTTGCCATTATGAAGAACACGTCTAAATCATACCTAAATGAAGCAAGCTATGGCTTATCTCCAACTAAACGAGGCGTAGGCAAAAACGGCGGAAAACTCGCTCCCAGACTTTATTCCGAAAACACTCATAGCTCAGCAGCTCTGAGGAAGCCACAACAGAAGATATCCAGCCAGACAAACTAAGAAAATGTACAGTCTTCAGGTTTCCGCATGCAACAGTGACATTGTTGTCGGGATAAGTAGCAGAGCCGGCCCAACATGTACTCACAATACCTGTGATATTGAGTCCAACTCCCGCAACTTCAAACTGGCAAAACGCTTATGTTTGCGACGGAAATAGCAAACAAAATAGTGGTAGGCCCCACGGACATATACGCTAAAGGGTCAAATGCCTTTCTATCCCAAATCAAAATCAACCCATCACCACCCCTTTTATTACTGAATTGGCAGTAATACAATCTGAACAAAAACGCTTTTATAGGCTTCTACTTTCCCCCATCTCTGTATACTACGAACCGTAGTGCTTTCTAGACTATCGTACATCATATCATCTCCCACCGATCCAGCCCCTATCACGTGCGATTATGAATCAGACAATAATCAAACTACAGGAGTATGTACTTCATTCAATCCAGTACGATGTATAGCTGAGTGCCTCGGCCACCTCACAACATGCAGATCTTAGATACAATGACAAAGAACCAAACATTATCCAACCCTTTCATTCCAAACTAACGATGGCTTTCAAAACTGTTGTTATTAAAATTCGTTCCTCTTTCACCTAAATTAGATATGGTTTCAACACGTATGTTTATGAGATCCCCTAATATTGATTTTATTACTGAAATTTGTTGCACAGCAAAATGAGTGACTTTCAGATTAATATCTTAGGATATAAACTTTTCCGCAATGATTGCTCACATAAACCTGGTGGTTGTTGTGCCATAGACCTTCGATTTAACCTGACTGCGATTCTTTCTGATTGAACTGTGTTCAGTGACTTAGAACATCCACTATGATTGGTGATCCCATCTAATGATCTCCTAGTGGGTTGTGTCTATCGGCTGCCCTGAGCCACTCAATATGAAATCCAAAAGCTAATCGAGATGATCAATGCTGCTACCAGCACCACCTACAAGTCCAAGCTTAACTGTGGAGATTTCAACCTACCCCATGTTAACTGGATGTTACCTACACTCAACCACTGCAGAGACCGTGAAAATAATCTCATGTATTCAAATCAATGGCTGGAACCAGCATGTTAGAGAGCCAACCAGTAGCGCTACTATTCCAGACCTTGTACTCAAGATGAGGTTCTCTTTCGCCTACGTATTCATTGATAATCCACTACCGGGTTATGATCACAACACGGTGCTTTGCTAACATTCATTCACAACCTCCATCGTGTGGACTGGAACTCATTTAATGAACTTATCAGTACCATGAATTGGAATACGTCATTCCTAACTCACAACCCTACTGTGGCTACAAATGAGTTTATTAATAATATTGCCCTTGAT